GATCATCAGAAAGTACTGTGATGCGTGTCGTTGCATGGTGACCGGATCAGTCCAGTTCACGCAAGTTCTTCCCAATACCCCTGGTGCAGCTCAAGACAAAAGTGACTAACTGTGTGAAACAAAAGGCTTGAGTCAACCAGATATAAGCTGGCAGGCTGCATGAACAAGGATGGATCCTTGGATGTCCTGCTTTGATGGAAGAGATGGAGAACGAACTCTGGATAATGGATAGAAGAAGTGGATCGAGCCTGATATGGGACTGCTTTGAGATTGCTTTGAGATGTTGGGCCAGATACCCTGCTGTTCTGATTTGCAGATCGCAGTCTATAGCTCATGAGAACCCTATACTTGCTGTCGCCGGTGTTGAAGACATTGGCTTCTCTGGATTACAAGGTTTCTAGAATGCAATAGACCGCTTTAACTGCTGCACATTTTGGTCTCCAGTATTACTGCGACGACTGGGAAGTTTCTTGGGAAGGTCAAAATCCGTGACGAGAGGTCCATCTTGTCCTATACACCTACCACCACCCCATTGACAATTGATCTTCAGATGCCATGCAAGAAGATTCTATGGAATACTAGCAGCTCACACTCGACTTTGTCCCCTTGACTTTTCGTGAAGGCGAGTGGACAGAGGTAAGTCATCAATGACTGTCAAATCAAGGAGTTGAGAACTTGAGCGCGATGAACATCCATGAAAATCAGTAACTTACCCGACTCGGCCTTCAATATTCGCAAATATATACCTAGACATGGACCGAAATATGAATCTCTAGCCATCTCGTCTTAAAACAAGAAATTTCTATCAAGATACCATCTAGGTGGCTCCATATCGACTTCTACCAGAATCAACTAAAACCCCGAAAGTCGCCTTCAATATCCCCCCTTAAACCGTCTTCTTCTTTTCCTTCACCAACGCCTCGAACCCCTGAATCAAATCATCCCTCAAATCCTCCCACCCCTCTACACCAATACTCACCCTCAACAACCTCTTACTGCACCCGCTATCACTCATCGCCCGCCACTCAATAAGACTCTCGACACCACCCAGCGACGTAGCATGATGGAACAAGCCCATCTTGCTCGGCAACCTCTTCGCATCCCCCTCATCCTTCAACAACAACGCAAACACGGGGCCGAACCCGCCGGGCATCTGCTCCTTCAACCACCCGGCCTCCAGATCCGCAGTCTGCAAACTCGCGTGCTGCACCGTGTCGACGACACTACCCACCAACCCCCCGGGGTTCCCGCGAACCTCCCCATCAAGCCACGCAACAAGCTTCGTCGCGGACTCGGACTGCCTCTTGACCCTCAGCTCCAACGTCCTCAGCGACCGAACGCCCAACCACCCCTCCATACTCCCCATCACGCTCCCGATAAAACACCTCTCCATCAACAGCTCCGGCATCCACTCGTCCGCGTGCTTGGGATTCAGACTCAGCGTCCCGCACAACATATCCGAATGCCCCCCGAAATACTTGGTCCCGGAATGCATCACGACATCCGCGCCCAACGCAAACGGATCCTGCAAAGGCGGCGGCGCAAACGTGGCATCCACCGTCAAGTACGCGCCCTTCCTGCTCGCAACTTGCCTAAAATACGCCAGGTTCCGCGCCTCGCCCGTCGGGTTCAGCGGCGTCTCGACGTGCAGCACGTCCCCGGCCTCCAGCTTCTCCAGCGAGGCGTCGTCGAGCTCGAGCTGCTGCAGGCCGTTGAGCTTCGTGAGGACCTTGATGACGCCGTGGCAGCCGTGGTACCCGCCGCCGATGGCCACGCGCTTCGGGTTCAGGAAGACGAGCATGGCGTGGAAGGCGGAGAGGCCCGAGGAGTAGGTCAGGGTGGGACCGTGGAGCACGCTGGAGAGGATTGCCTCGAGGCGGGTTGTGTTGGGGCCCGAGTAGCGGGAGTAGATGTGGGAGTCGCCCGGGGCGGAGGGCTAGGTTTGGATGTTAGTCTGAGCTTTTTTCCCGCACTTGACTTTTTTTTTTTGGTCTTCCCATCTCATGACGGGGTCATTCTCATAGTTCCTCAACAGTGGCAAATTGTCTTGAAAGCTGGATCAAGTAATATAATTAGAGCGCGGGCAAGACTTACATCGACATTCTCCCCTGAACGGAGATCATCCGGGTTGCTGTGGTACTTGAACGTAGTCGACACGTGCATCGCCGGCGCGATGGCGCGGTGGCTGCTGATGCCATCATCAGCGTGGACAGAAAGCGTAGCAAGCGAGAGCTCTCTCTTGCTGGCAGCGGCTGTCGTCGGGCCTTCAAAGCCGGGCCCGGGAGCGGCCCGGGTCGCCGGATCACCGTTCGTGGGGATATCTCCAGCCATTGTGTTGTTTGTCGTGAAGGATGCTAAGTGAAGAGGGGTGCTTCAGTGCCTCTTGCTGGGAATAAAGAGTCCCGGAATAGGTGACGAGATATGACACAAGATCTTGAACGACTGAAGGGGGAGTCGAGATGTAATGCACAGGGCGTGGAAGCTCCAGATGTGTCATAAGATGAGAAAAATGAAGAGTCACCGACAAACAACCGGCGCGGAAGACGATCAAGGCGGGCGGCCCGGTGCCGAGAACCAGCCGTCTCAGTGACTCTGCCCCTCCATTGCGTGGAACCTTATCAAAAGGTGGGGTCGGAGACCAAACCCCGAAGCTGGGTCATGGTGCGATAAGTGCATGACGGATCAGAAAGTATTTGCTAAATCACGTCAAAAGCCTTCTGACCATTGGAACAACGATGCTGGATGAGTCTCCGCCAGTCCATCCCTCCGAGGCTCGGATCGTTATTCCAGCCATTCCAATGAGTAATCCTCTCTCATATCCCGAACTTACACTACCTCACAACTTTTTAAGGTATGTCACGGACAATGTCACCATACAGCAGGCCCTGGAGCCAAGACATGTCAACCAATATCATTATCATTAAGAGCTTATTTCCAAGACACTCGGACTCGAAGCTCTACTCGCCAGGGTGGCTTGCAACCGCCCGTATACGCATAACGCGGCTCGACCCGACGAGTGTGCAGGCTGATTGGCCCAACTCTAACCATGTCATAGCGAATGCACCCCATATCTTGGGACATAACCCAACCAGTAACGCCAAATCCCAAGCCCGCAAGGGCTGCATCGACAGGACGTATATACAAAGTAAGAAGAAAAGATGCCCGGGAGTACGATTAATGAATTTCGGTGGTCTCGACCGACGCTGCCGACTTTGGGCGTTCGATGGTTCCTAGTTCTGAGCCTTGCCCGCTCTGGCCGCGCTTTCTTCCAGCGCCATTCAGGAAGCGCGTGACGCTTGAGTTGGTCGAGTTGGCGCTCGGCTCCTTGTGGTCTGAGTCACCGAAGCGCGAGAACAGGCCGCGCATGCGGCTGGATTGGTGGTGTTGTTGTTGATGCTTCTGGTCGTCCAGGCCGACGTCTTCGAAGCCCTCGTCAGCGGTAGGGAGTTCCCGGTGTCTGTCAAGCGCGGATCGAGGCAGGCGAGGGTAGCGGGCTGAGTCGAGACTCTGGCGCGCCGGGAAGTCGTTCTGGGGAATTGGGGACCGTGCTGTGATGTCCTGCAACGCAATTGCGGTCAGCGGTGGCGCCACAGATAGCGGGCTCGAACTCGACGTACAAATGATCGCCTGTACGAATCGAAGGATTCTCGGGAAATAGAGAAATGCTCAATCTCGCCGCTATTGCTGCGAGTGTCTGTCGAGTTGCGGCCGGAGCCGAGGTACTTGCTCGGCCACAGGCCTTTTTCTTCAGTTGGGGATGGCTACGCACGCGCATTAGCAAATGTCTCGAGCATGGGTGAGATTGTTGATTGCGAGGGTGCATACCGGAAGATAGACGCCGCTGTCATTCACGACTGTGATGCAGAGAAAAGTAAGTCAATTGGTTCCATGTGCGCGCCATCACGTCTGATGAGAGGTGGAGGTGCATACCACTCATCTTGTATTCCCCATTGTCCTGGCTCTTGGAACTTCTGACGCTGAGGGAAGAAGAAGCCTTTGAGCCGACTGTGTCTTGCTTCTCAAATCCGGGATGCGACGGGTTCTCGCCATCGGACCGTGAGCTTTCGTCTGCATGGAGAGTGGCAGGGCCCGGACGGCGGGCAAAAGGGTTGCGAATGGGCATGGCGGAGGATGGCGCGGAAGCGGCAAGGTTGGGACGGTAGCTGGTAAGGAGGGAATCTCAATTTGTCGCGACGGTGTCGATGTTGTAGACCAGGCCAATGTGCCAAGTTGTTTTTGGAAGCTAGAGAGAAAAACTTGGTGCGTTATGTTTCGAGTTGTGTTTGCGTTTCGAGGTTGATGCTGGGACCGTTTGACAAAGAAATCGATCGGTGGACCCAAAAGGCGAAGGCGGGGAATAGGGTAGCGGGAAGGAATGGCGATGAACTATATGGCAATCTTGACCCGTCCTATTTCCCACTCGGGCAGATGTGTGTAGTGTACGCAGTAATAGCTAGTGGTGTCTGAGTTGGTCCAAGGGCCCAGTCTTAGTCTACATGTACAGTAAGACGGTGGCTTGGGATGGACAAGGCGGAACGGTATTGGTCTGTAGAGGTCCTACAGAGAGATGGATGCAGGAGATGATGGAGATCCAAGTGAGGCGCAGGGAGATGGAGACGAGGGCTGGGGAACGGGTTGGCGCTTGTTCAAAGTTGAGGACGTAATCGAGACGTGGTGCTGCGTATGGAGTATGGCCGGCAAGTGAGCAGAGAAAAAAGTGAGTAGACGGTAAGGTAGAGATGGATGGGAGCTAGAACTGGCGGACAATATCATCGGGCGGGAATCTGCAGGTTTTGGGCTGTGGTTGTGCTTGTCTTCCCCTGGCAAGTGCGAGCGTCTCTGTCATGTCTTTTTTCTTCCCGCTCGTGCCTGCCCATCCGTACATTTTCTTTCCTTCCTTGCATCCGCCCATAAAGCATGGGAAAAGTAGGTGCGGATACGCGCTACTGCCACTCAGGGACTAGACGCAAGGGGGGGCACATCAGACTTGGAGGTGACGAATGACCCTCTTGCAGATGCATCCATTGGATCATGAGGTAACTTGGTATAACGCCCAGTATCAGTACCGAGTATGGCGAGGTAAAGAACCCCGGTGTCGCTGCCGGTACCGCTTTGAGAAACCGCGGTCCCGCCCGGACTCTTCGCCATCACTCTTCAGGGTCAAGTGGGAACTGAGAAAAGAGCTTTTCCATGGCATGGCAGGGAATAGGCACGTAGGGACGTTTGAAGGTGTCAAGTCCGAGAGCCCTAAACGGTAAAGGTGTGTAAGATGCTGCAGCGGCTCCCCATCATCGGCATGGTCAGATCATCGGCACTATCCCACGACTCAGCCAACATCTTTTGCAAACACTGCGTGGCCTATGTCCATCAGTGGGGATATTGACAGCCTGGACAGCCTGGCACTGGCGAACCCGCGAAGCATTCAATGACATCTCACGAGAATTGGGTTTGCAATGGCGGCACCGTACAAGCTAGGCAAGACGGGGATTCGGAAAACCGGGAAACTTGGAACGAACCGCGAATACCATGCCACCAACGGCCCAGGGCACTGGGGAAAGACATGATCAAACATTAGCTCACTAACTCAGTCACTCGCCCTCTCAGTGGCTGGAGTCATAAACCGGCCACACCGATTCCGCTGTTGCTAGCTTGAGAAGCTTTCCAAAGGCCAGGGACCTTGGTCGATGACATGTGTTTGTCCCATGTTCTTGTTCTTGCCATGCCTACCTACGGGCCTGCTCTTTCTAGCCCAACTGAGCTGAATGGTTCGTCGCCGCCGCCAGTGACATAAGGGTAGGTAAGGTGGGATGCGGGTCGGTACATGTGACGGTGCCTTGAATGCAGCAAAACTCCATGTATCTCTTTGAAATTTGCCTTCTTATATAATCACCCGACCAGTATGGTGTCCTCCCTTCTGGAAGCCCGCAGTGACGCTTGCCGTCATCCACCTTGTCCGGTCCAACCTTGCGTCCCGAATCCCCGCGACGGGGGCATGCCCTTTTCCAAATTCCAACCCTGATTATCCTGGTTTTCTTTCACCTTGGTTACAGCGGTTAAATTCGCCCACCATTCAGCGTCTACATTCATTTCTAGGCGCATACTGGCAGACCTGTGAAAGCTCTGCGCAGCCACAAGCGTCGAACCCTCGGCCCCCAAACGGACACCAATCGTCTCTTCTCCGTCTCGCCTCGACTCTCTGGCACAGTCTTGCTCACCCGTCTCAAGGTGTTCATCCACAGTACGATGCTGGGCAAATCTGGACGTTCGGACGGCACACTTCGGATCTCTCGGCATCGGAGCGCAACAAGACTGCCCTTTGATCTCCGTGCCGCGCTTCCTCTTTCTGTCGACCTTCTGCGGACCTGCATCATGTCCGTCCAATTGTTCCTGATTGACCGCATCGGAACGTGAGTTGACTGCGCCTATCCGCTCTCTATATGACGCTCTACTCAACCCACCTTTCCCCTCAGCGGATCATTGACCTGCCGGGCGGAGAACGGGAGTCGGTCATCGCCGTGGCCGGCGCGATACTCCACCGCACGCTTCCATCAAAGCTGATGAATCATGAGGGTCCTATCTGTCAGTTGGGAAAGGGATATCCGCAGACGTGATAGGAGAACAGTCATAGAGCGTTGCGACTTCGACTCGCCCTCCCGATTCATGACCGATAGCCCTACACGCCATACTCACCACTCATATGATTGTCGGACTTAGCGGCGTCAAAATCTGCGTCCTCAACCATCTTGAGAATCCATAATCTTCGCTCTAAGCCAGTTGTCTGGCACTCGGCATCCCACGAGGTTGACAGCCTCTTTTAAACGACAAGATGCCTGGTGGTCAAGATGCCTGGTGGTCTGGAACCAGGCTGCGACCTACTTCGACCTTTAGCTCATTGAAAGTTTTCTGCATGCGGGATTCACTCGCACCAAGACGCCTCCTCATCGTAGGTTGTCTTGCACAAGTTTCGTTGAAAGTCGCCTTCCCGGACGCCCTCGCCGGCTATGGCTTGGCCGGCTTGATCCTTCCTCCTGTGAAGATGCGCAATCGGCCTGGCCAGTCAACCAGTGCCTGTACACCATGACCCGGGGCAAAAGCGACACAAATTGCAATTGCCCAACGTGCAACGAGGAGCTTGAGGGCCGTTCACATCGTGGTGGTTCAGCATGGCACCGGATTGGGTTATCGTGACTTCGGCTACCCAAAGTGGCTGCGGTCCGACAGGCAGCTGGGAATGTAGACGCCCAGATCCGACGGAGCGGGCACGCTACAGACAGACTGGCACCCACGCAACCACCCACCATCGAGACAGACTGTTGACACCACAAGTCTAGGCATCGGCGATGCCTAACACCGGCCCTGTCACGGTGCTATGTTGACTTCGACGGACTTTGGCTATGCTTCTCGTATGCTTCGGCGGTTGACCAGCTGATGCCATCTTAGTCTTTAGCCGAGCGAGAAAACCTTGCTGCACTTGCTACTGTCGCTATCATCAGCTGATCGCTCTTCTATGCATCGAATAAGCAGTCTACCGGAAGGGGACCGATCAACCGCGCCTGCGTCGAGATGTCCCTTTGTCTCGAGATGATTGCCAGAGTATCCGCCAACCTTGACCTGGGTTCGGCTCGCAACGTCGGGCTTCTGAAGAGATCGTCTTTCGCCATAACCGACGCGGCTTTTCAGTCCTTTGTTCGTCGTAAAAATCGATCTACAATCCTCGCCATCATCGGCGACATAGTCGTCATCGGCACAGGATCTGAGAAGGACCATCGTTGTCCGTGTCGCCTAATGATTTTGTACCTCAATCCAAGCAAAAATGGCGCGCCTGCAGACAAAGAAGTGACCAGGTCGCCGTCAAGGGGAAAACAGCAAGCATTGGGTTGATCAGAGTGTTGTATACTCGGCGATAGTGGGGGCTCACTGCGAATGTGCCGATGCCATCACGGAATGACCCTGTCAAAACCATGAATGTAGTAGGTATGTCTGGCTTGAACACGGAACACTGATCAGATTATCGAGATTCGAAATTCGAGCTTCTGGCACGGACATGCTGGTCTTCAACAGGCGGCCCTGATCGGGATTCCATTGAAGCCTGAAGGCCAAGATCAATGAGAACTCCTACACTTCTCAGATCTATCGATACCGGACCTGCTTTCACTGCGATCTGTCAAATGTGATGATGAGGCGATAACCACGTTGCTGACAGCACATACGGGAAATGCCCAGAGAGGCTTTTCATCATCAAAGACCTCTGGTGTGATCTGCCAAAGGATGTGGTGGACGCTGAGACGCAGGTAATCTCGATTGTCCGTGGGAAGGACGAAACAGACCCGCGCCTAACAGCCGCATTGACATCAAACGCCTGCTCAACCCACCTTTGGGGTTTCTCAGGCTCGGAAAATAAGAATTTCATCGCGGTACCTGATGGGACGACGTCTGTTCTCCCCAGCCTGCGCTTTTGGATCTCATGGCGTGAGCGCTAGGCCGACGCCATGCGTGCCCGTGTACCTAAGAAAAGCAGGACATGAAATGATCGACCCTTGAGCGTGCGTCCGAGCAATATCGGACGACTCGGAGCGAGACGGTCAACGGCTGCTGTCATAAGGAGAGAGGAAAGCTCAAACGACTTGTTCGACCTCTCGCCGCTGGCGTAGCACTGGATGACACGGTTCCCGTGGCTCGCCAAGGCCAATGGTCGTTTTCAGGTCGAGCCTCGATGCCGCGGGGCCCCACTCACGATGCAATGCTATGTAAAGCACACACTTCGCCCGCACGCTGCAGGTTGCAGGACGAGAGAGATCAGCACGAATGTGGGATCTCCAGGGGCAGCGCGACCGAAGCGGCCATGGAAAGCCCTTGGGGCTATGCATCGCGTTGAGCCTGTCTGGTTCCTGCGTCTACCTGGTTCCTACGTCCGACTCGTCTCCCGCTCTGTCCACATCTGGCCTATGGCGAAGTCGACCACTTAGATGGCGATATGACTAAACCACTAGAGTGCAGCAGCACAGCAAGCGTACACCGGCTTCTTGTGACTCCGCGGAAGCTTCGAGACCATGGGGAGAGTGCGGAATTCTACAAAACATCTTACTCGCCTCTCGGCTGCCCGTTCACGTCTATCGTGGATTGCACGGCATGCCGGGTCATGTGACGGTGGTCCAGACTCGACAGCTCGAGAACGTGGACGAAAGTGGCTTTCTGCAAACGAAAACATGGAGATAACATGCGGCGATGGGATTGAATATACTCAAGAACTCACTATAGATGAGAGGCAACGACTGGCCAAGGTTCCCCATCTCAGTCTGGAAATCAGGTGTGGCTTGCTCTTCCGCCCTTCTTTCGGCGCCAAGTGGGCGAAACTAGATCAGCCCGCGCCGTACCTTGCATTCCGCAAACGGCTATCTGAGACCACTTCCGTCGTAGCAACATGTTGGTTCTGCCCGCTCATCCCCCCCACAACTCTCTTTCTTTTGTGGCGTTTCTACTTACAAGGTACGCTTTCGCACTTTGATTCTGTAGACAGAGAGGGTTGAACATTCCAGTAACGCCCGGCCCAATTCCCAGGGATTTTGACATGGCGGCGGCACATAGCAAGACGGTTGACTGCGAGGTGAAGTCGTCCCAAAGCGCCATTGACCCAAACGCAAACAGGTCTAGCAGCTTGTCTCGATCCGCGAGATGGGATCCTCGATGGGGTCGAGCAGGGTTAACCCAGACCCATGCCCTGCAGCGGGCATGAGTACGAGACTACGACTATACGGTAGCGGTGCTCAGAAAACACCAACGACCCAATTACTACCACACCCGACTTCCAAATCCCCTTTTGGAAAGGACTTGTCGACCGGACGTGGCAGCACTCGCCCTTCACTCCAACGCACGTCCTCAGCCGGCGCACTCGTCGAGCATACACCACGATGTCTCCTCCCATCTCCACTTGGACGATGGACACTGAGAGAGAGAGGCAACTCAGCCACTGACACACTCTGCCCGAGACGGATCCTGGCTTCGGTCACCCTTCAGTCTAGTCCTAGTTCAGTACTGCTCGAGAGTCCAGGCCGACCCCATCTAACGAGCTCGTCCATGGCGGACAGGTAGGTAATATGGCTGGTGAGAAAGGTGGATGTGTGTGTTGTGTTGTTTGCTGTTGGTATCCGTGTTCCCTGTTTCATACATAACCTGCCGGCTTCCGTCTGACCATTGAGAACCAAGATCACGCATCTCCTCCAGGTTTTTTGTTTCCATCCTTCACCGCCCAGGACCCCTTGAAGTCCCTTTATATTCACCAGTGCCCCTCTAATACGAGGTCACCTTCTATTCCTATCCTGTGTAACTGATACTCGATAACGGTGGCTTCTTGCCTTGTCTTGTACCTTACCTCGGTTTTTGACATCATCTCCAACCCTTAACTAAACGACTCAAACAACATCAACACTCTGTACCAATATTACCATAGCGATCTCTTCTTCTTACCCGATTAAGAAGCTACAGCGCCTCGCCCATTATCAAAAATCACAGTCTCCGAGCTTGTTCTCGGTCTATCGCCACGGACAACGCTCTTCGCCGCATTCGAATAAGACATTGTGAACCAGTCCGATTGCAGCAGTTTAGGAACGTCACACCTTCGAGGCCAGAACCGACTTCGGTCGCAAGAGGGACCCCTGTCTTCACGTATCCTTCCTCACTTCAAGAAGAGAGCTGTGCTCCATCTCTATTCACTTTGGTCGACATTTTCACATCTGATACCACGCACCTTCCTCACCTTCCTCCTCAGACCTTGAGCAACCCTCCCTCTCACCACCACACAACGCCATACACATCAACTTCATTCGACACGAATCACAATGGGCAAGCGAGTATTTGTTGACTGGGAGTTGTGGCAGCAGATGACCTTTGTAAGTCTACATATCAGTACATCTTATGCTTCATGACTAACACACTTGTCCCATAGGTACTGGCTTGTGCCATCGGCGTCGTCTTCATTATAGGCTTTGTGAAGCTATGGTGGTCAAACCGATACATGGCCAAGCTCGAAATCATTGACGCGGAAAAGAGGGCACATGCCTCAGAGATGGAATCAACCGGCCTGCCGCCCCCACGAAAGCAATCCGAAATCCCCTTTGGCGTCCGCGCCATTCAGTCCGGCATCGAGGTCGACGGCATCTGGATTTCTCGCCCCGCCACCCCTGCCACCGACTCCCCTCCCAATTCCGCCAAGGGTAAGGGCAAGTACGTCTCTATGGGTCCCATCTCACCCGCCTCAACAAACTCCTCAGACCCCTTTGGCTCTCCGCCTTCGTCTCGCGGCGGCAACGGTGTTACGGTTGGTCCTCAGACATATCGCCCCAAGTCATTCTCCGGAAACGCCGTTGCGAGCCGTGCCGACGCGCTGAGCCAGCTTGAGGGCAACCCGAATCCGCCAACCGCACCCTCCTATAGCACTTACCAGCCTCGCGGAAACGTCGCCCATTCCGAGTCCTCGGATGAGGCCAGTAGCCCTGTCAGCCCCATCGATCGCGGCAACGCTGGCATCAGCAGCGAGAACTACAACGGCATCGACGTCCGAGTACCCATCCGAGCCTCACCCGTCGTCAACCGCCAGCTCAACAAGGTTCGCAACGTCACCGGCGGTCCCGCCCAGCAACCGACGACGGGCGGCGGTGTCCGCTCTTTCAGCGGCAGCTTGCAGCTGCCCAAGAACGGCAAGGGAACGTACTCTACCGTGCCGCAGGGCTCGCCCGGCGGGGATTTCACTGATCCGTTTGCTACGCCTGTTACTACCCCTGGTGCCGACCAGGCGTTGCTTCCTTCCCAGCAGCAGCAGCAGCAGGGAGCTCATCACGTTAAGTTTGCGAATGTTGAGTATATCACCAGCCAGCGCTACGCCAGCGATGGTAGCAGCGGGAGCAGCGGCAGCAGTAGCAGCAATAATCACAACTAAGTCCTCTTTTAGACTTGGGTAGTGTGGTTGATTGACGGTACATCAGCATCGGATGGTAAAGCGAGTTTTTTGGCTTCTTTCTTTCTTTCGCGAATCTTCTCACAAACTTGGAGAGTAATATCGTAGCAACTGTATGAATAACAAAGGGCAATCTGTCGAATAGGGACAGCGGGGGGTGGATACTAGGTTCCGTGGCCTCTCCTTCACGAAGGAGATGGCATACGAGGGGAAAGGCGTTTCAGGCATGTAAAAAAGAATTCATCATCGGGAACACATTAGACGGTGGGCACCTCTTGCGCAGCAAGGTCTCTCGTCGACCCCCGCTCTCAATAATGAGAGATTGGGGCAGACTATCATTAAAAGGACAGCGTTCCATCCATAGAATAAGCACAATCACAAGAAGAAACACAATTCATAATAACACTTGACCAATTACCTGCAGTGAGGCAGTATGTATCGATTGAGACCGATGGCCAAGGTATCGATATGGTGCAATGCAATTACTTCAATAGCGCCGCTCGGCTCGCAACTCTGCGCTCCGGACTTCGGCGTGGCTCCGCGCACGTCGGCACCGGCGCCGGTTATGGCGACGCAAATTGGACCCCGCTCGTTCGACCTCCCCTCATCCCCATGGAAGCAATCCTCCTCACCCCCGTGCCCCCACATAATTGACATGACGTGCGTGATGAATGGAGAAGGGGAGACGATCCGTATCGGCGGCCAAAGGAATAACCGCGATCAATCCCCCTCTTCTACGGATTGAGTTGCCTCCTTGCTTTCACACACTCTATCCTCATTGTGAAGTCCGTTTTGGGGGAATATCGCGCAATTGCATCTTGGGTTTAGCTACTTGTGAATACAAGATCCTACTAAATGAACGGGCTCTCAGATCCAAGCAGATTGACACGGGCGTTTTGAGACATCTTCATCCGCAGCATAATTCCATCACCGTTTTACGCATACTTGTATAGACAGGCAGGTCATCGCCAACTCAACTCAACCTCGAACGTCAAACATAGCACGTACGAATCCCCAACTTCAGCAAATCACGGACCCCAGAAAGGAAGAATTAGAAAAAAGAAGAAAACACAACAACAACCACAATGTCCCCAACATCCCTCCACCAAGGCGCCTCAAAAGGCTTCGCAGACGCCGCAACCTACGACGCCTACCGCCCCTCCTACCCCGCCGCCGCGACCCAAAAGTTCCTGGAGCACCTCCGCCTCGCCGACGTGCCGCACGCCAAGATCCTGGACCTGGCCGCGGGCACGGGGAAGATGACCGAGGTGCTGGCGGCGCGGCACGAGGGGTTCGAGGTCGTGGCCGTGGAGCCGCACGAGGGGATGAGGGCGGAGCTGGAGAAGAAGGGGCTGAGGGGCGTCGAGGTGAAGGATGGGTTCGCGGCGAGGTTGCCGATTGGGGAGGAGTGGGGGGATGGTGCTGTTGTTGCGCAGGTGAGTTTTGATGTTTCTTTCTTGAAAGGTGATGGGGGGTTTGTTTTGGGGTGCGAGGAATGAGATGGAAGAGCTTGTGCTTGTGTTTGGGGATTGATGGCTGACTTGTGTTCTATCTACACAGGCATTTCACTGGTAAGACGATCCATCATCTGGACTCAGGATTGTGGACAGAAGCTCATGATAAAGCATAGGTTCGCAACGACAGAGTCACTAAAGGAGATTCATCGCGTCCTGAAGCCGACTGCCGTGCTTGGTTTCATCTGGAATATTGAAGATTGTAAGTCTTCCCGCTCGTTCTCAATCCTCAGGAGACACATACTCCATGTTACGCGAGGACGCACAACAAAAAAAAGAAAGGAATGCTAATGAAATCCCACGCGATCACAGACAACAAGCCAAAACACTGGAAAGCAAGCACGCCCTGGGAACAGTCCCTCAACGAGCTCGTCTTCACCCTTGGCGGTGACGGCCAGCCGCGCTTCCGCGACTTCGTCTGGAAGGACGTCTTTGACAGCCAGCTCGACGCCAACCCGCTGCGCGCCGTCAAGGACGTCGTCCTCGAGGGCGGGCGCAAGATGCCCCTCTTCAGCGTGCCCGTGGGCGAGGAGAAAGTGCCATTCACGGTCTGGCTGACGCCCGAGGCGGTGTGGAACCGGCTGCGGACGCTGAGCCAGGTCGCGGTGCTCGAGGGGGCGCGGGCCGCGGCGTTTAAGGCCGAGTTTGATGCCATTCTAGGCGGGGAGAGCGTGGAGAGGAATGAGAAGGGGGAGGTTGCCTTGCATGGGGTTACGTATTTTGCGTGGACTTCGAGGTTGTAGCCGTGGTGAGATGGTCTGCATCGTAAGTGGGGGGTGCTTTTGCTATTCTGGTCAGACGAAGGCGAAAGGGTGCAGAGAACGTTCGGCCATATGGTAGAATTGAGGGTATATTTTCTTCTGCGTTGGTAGATCTCATGAAGGACGCCTCCCGAGCACTCTAGACTCGTTCATAGACCTCTTCGCTGGTGGATAGAGTCCAGTAACCGATCCATTGTTGACATCTTCATCCGCGCCTCCTAAGAGTCTGCCGAAATGTACATGACTGCACTATCTGTCAGTTGAATTGAATTGAAAATTGGGATGGAGTAAGAATCACCGTTGTTTCCTCTCACAAATGCGTCGCCGTATGACCGCCTCTTGGTGCCGTTGACGTACTCCTCCGTCTTCTCCAGGGCGATGTTCATGTAGCCATCAACGGACTGAAGCTCACCTATAATGAACGTATACGGTCAGAGACTTCTCACCACATCAAGAATAGAGCCTGGGCTCATCTCATTTTTGGTAATGACGGCTGAGGCACTCACCCTTGTAGACGACGCCCGAATTGAGCTTCACGGTGACGGGGTTGCCGATGATATCGCTGAGGAAGCTGGAGGGGTCCTTGCCCTCGCCCTGGCTGATGTTTCCGTTCTCCATTGTCGTTGTCTGGATGTTGTGAGATGGATATGAGTTATTGGAGAGGGCTTCGGGATGTAGGTTGTTCCGTGGCGGGTTGACGTGACGGTGGGTGGTGGTTGAGGCTGTGGGACGTCAAACTGGTGAGGTGATGATGTTGGCAGAATTGCTGGCAGCTGGCGGTGATGGTGTTGACGGCTGCCCTCTGTTAGAGCATCGAAGGCCTGGGTACCTGGGGTACCTGGATCGCACCTGGCGTTAGCTTTTCCCAGGGTCAGCTCGCACTGTAGGGCTACCCGAGCAGCGCACACTCCAAGCTGAGCAGCGTGCGAAGGCGAACTCCATCCCCCTCCAGGTCCTCCCCTGTGGCCCTGGTAAGGTGGGACCAGCCGAATCAATCTTTTTGCTCTCACCACGGAAACAACGGCGGCCCCCCCAAATCCCAACCCAAATATTTGGTGGTGGTGCGCGAGCCAGGACGCCTCGTCGTCCCTCTCTCCCCTTCTTCTGTCGCATTGTTCGTGATGTTTCTACCTGCCGCCTTCTCCTTTGGGCCCAGCCTCTGGCGCCTACTCTGCATGGCCTGACCTTTTCTCGGTTACAGAAAGTTCACTTACAAAAGAACCACAACGGCCACATAAAGTCGGTACAGAATTCACATCATCCAAATTCCTGCGCCTTGGACCCTGTAAATTGCACCGGATCGCAAAACGAATTCCGACTCAAAATTTGCCCCGCCGCTCAGTGTATTTAGAAGAAACGTCCACTTGCGAGCCATGGCAGACGCAGCTAAACCCAAGAGGCGCCTTCCCTTCAAGCCCACCGCTTTGCGACAAAAGTCCGACCCGAAGCCCGCGACGCAGAAGAACGACAACGAAGAAGAAGAAGACGACGACGACGATGGACTCAGTCTGTTCAAGCGCTCCGCCGAGTTCTTCCCCGTCGCAGTCGCCGAACAGGAGCGGCGTATGAAACGGAAGCAGGCGGAACGAGAGAAGAGCACACAAGCGCGATCGCCAGAGCGCGAGACGGAGCCTGCGCCGAGAGCGAGCGAGGAGCCTGGCAAGACCGACGTTGAAGGGGAAACAAGGTACGCTCCCAACACATATTCGCACTACCACCATGGCTGTCTTCTGACACCAATTTTCACCTGTTAGGGAACCCGGCACGCCGCCATCCAAACGCTCGCGAACCAGCGACGAATCCCCGCAATCGAGAACAAAGCAGTCGCCTTACAAACGCCGCGAAGGCACAGAAACACCTTCGAAGCGCTTGACCCGCGCCGCCGCCTCGCGGACGCCTCGGAAGCAGGAGGTGATACCCCACAAGCCCGTCATCGCGATCGAAGATAGCGACGAAGACCTCGACGACGTCGACGATGTGGCCAGCGACGATATCTACGAAGCGTCGCCCGTCCGCAAGACGCACCGCCGGAGACAGACTTCGGAGCCCGAGGTGTCGCCTCTCATGATTGACTCGGACGACCCCTTTGTAGAAGGAATGGACGAAGACAAAAAGTCATCTGTCGCAGGAGCGGCAGCGGCACCGGAAGGAGAGGAAGATGATGAATTTGAGGAATACGTCCGACGCGCCATGGAGCGTAAAAAGGCTCTCGAGCAGGACGAGAACCAGCTCGTCAACGTTTTCGTCACCTCTGATATACCAGGCACCAGGGATCGGCAATTCCGCTTCACGCTTGCCAAGCCGCTCAAGGTGATTCGTATGAAGTGGATTGAAGTCCAGCTGGAACGTATTGAGATTCCTCGCTCGGAAGTGGACAGTGTATTCCTCACATGGCGCGGTCATGAGCTGTATGACACCACGACACTGCACAGTCTCGACCTGGAGGCTACGTTCCGCAAGAACGGTGGCGGCGGCGGTGGTGGCGACGGTGTAGCAGATTTGTCCGAGGGCTTCAAAGACGACGACTGGACAAACGTGCATCTGCAGGTGTGGACGCGCGAGTTGTGGGAAGAGCACGAGAAGCAAGAGGCGCGGAGGAGGAGACACGACCTCGGAGACTACTCTGACGACGAAGGTGGCGAGCAGGGCGATGGCCCGGATGCCATCGAGCCAGAGGTGGAGCAGAAGATCAAGGTTCTCCTCAAGACCAAGACGGACGAGCCGCTCAAGACTTCGGTGAGGCCGTCGACCACCATCGGAACGCTCATGGAGTTGTTCCGGAAAATGCGTGGGTTGGCTGAGGACGCGCCCATCACGCTCATGTTTGACGGTGACGAGCTCGGAGAGGAGACGACTGTCGAGGAGGCTGACATCGGCGACATGGAAACGATTGAGGTCTACATAAGATGAGGTCTCACGATTTACACGTCGGCCGGGATCAGATGAGGATGTCAGCCTCAGCCTTTTTTTCTCGTTGAAACAAAGTGTCACGGCCCGGAATGGCAGTGGCTCGAGTCTGGATATCTGGGGAAAAGGGGGCAAAGATGAGGCCCTTGAGGAGGGACGTAATTCAAGATACCCGGGGAGTTTTTAGCGGTTTTTTTTTCCCCACGGGAGGTAGCGTTAGCATGGAAAGTTGAAAAAGCTTTTTGAACCTCTTGATGTTGAGTTCGTTCACCTGTATTGGAACGGGACCGAGGTGCCCCTATTTTGAACCCTACCCCCCTCCAAACCTTTACAGAGAAACTGTGCCTCACTTACATCGCCAACTCATCACTATCAAGCCATCGAGCACTGCACATGGAAAATTAGATCATCAGCCATGTCATTATGTCATTCTGTTGATTTATCATTACTCATCAAAGCCATGCCCTTCCTCCGTGTTTCCGACAGACAAAACCATCCCGTACAACATCGAGAATATGACTCCAAAACCACCACACCAAAAACCTCAAATCATCAAAGATCTCTGCAAGCCAATTCCCCTCACCCATCAATTTCCCCTCCGAATCCCTCACCTCCCACAGAAACCCAGGACACGTCTCAGCCATTCAATGCTTCTCGCCGCAGCCGGGGCATTTCTCCTTGCTCTCGTCTTGCGGAAAACTCCACATCTGTCCGGCGCTGGCGTTCCTCGTCTGGGCCGCGAAATCACTCTTCTCGTCCCTGTTGCCCGCCGCCGCATCCTCCGGGTCCTCGTACTCGTCCTGCCGCGCCGTGATGCTAAAGTACCGACTGGCGTTGTACTTTTCGCCCAGCCGCTTCGCGACGTCGTTGGCCTCGTTGAGGGAGACGAGGCGCCGCTTGTCCGGGTTTTGTTCCTGTACGGCGCGGACGGCGCGCCACGTCTTTTGCTTGTCGGTGAGGCGGGCGGAGGAGTTGCCATTGCCGTCCGCATCCTTGACCTCCTCTTCATCATCGTCCTTCTTGACAAAGGACTCGACGGGCCGGCTGACAATGGTCGAAGGGTCTTGGTTACTCTGGAACAGCGTAATTGGGCTCGGCGCGAGGAATTTTTCGCCCGTGACGTTCTCGCGCGCGATCTCGGCGGGGGTGCGGCCGACTGCGTTCTCGCGGTAGAGGAGCTTCGGTCTGTAACTCAGCAAGGCCTTTGCGAGGACGGCGTCGTGGGCCATGACGACGGTGTGGAGGGGCGTATCGCCCGCGCCGTTGAGCATCTCGAGCTCGGCATTGCCGCCGCTCGAGGAGAACTCGATGAGGCGGGCGAGAACGGCGAGGATCTGGGCGTTGTCCGCGTAGTTCTTGCTCGCGACCGGGTTGTAGTGGTACGTCGTCCGGCGCGAGCTGCACACGGCCGTGATCCAGGCGTGGAGCGGCGTCGTGCCGTTGTTCTCGGACAGGTTGTTGCGCTGCTGGGCGAGGTGCGGGCGGATCCCGGCGTCGACGAGGTCGAGGACGGGCCCGAGGCGGCAGGCGCGGGGCATCCCCTGGAGGGCGGCGTGGAGGATGTTGTCGCCGGCGTTGTTGCGGGCCATTTGATTCGCGCCGGCTGCGATGAGGGTGCGGGCGAAGTCGAGGCGGCCAAAGTGGAAGGCGAGCCAGAGGGGGGTGTCGCCGAGGGTGGACTTGTAGTCGAGGGAGGCCGGGCAGGCTTGGGCTAGGTATTTGATGACTTGGTTTGTGGCCTCTGTTGGAGGTCCCATGACGGCGCAGTGGATGACCAGTTCATCTGGATTTTCTGTGTTAGTGACATTAGGAAAGGGGTATGTGAAAAAGGGTAAACTCACTCTGAATGCCTAGCCACTTGGAGATGGCACGGTCGAAGCCGCCCGGTGCTTGGCTGAGATGCTTCAGTCTTGAATCCTCGCGGGCTGCCTTGGACTTTCCAAAGTCTACGTAGTGACGATGAGGTGCGTCGCCGAGGAACCACTCGACGGCATCAATGTTGCCAGCCATGGCGGCGTGGAGCAGAGGCGGCGTCCTGACGCCGGTGGAGCGGACCACCATGTTCCTCCCGGCCGTAGCCCAGTCCTTTCTGTTCTAGGGGTTAGCAGGCTGATGATACGCGGGGGCGAAAGTGCGTTTGTGAGTTTCTCCTTACCTCTTCCTGCCATAGACTGACAGACCCAGGTAATACTTGGACTTGCGTTTCATCTCGACGCCGCTCTTCTTTACCAAATCATCGAGTGGAATGCCGGCACCGGTGCGGCTGATAATCTCCGCGAGAGCCGCCGTCTTGCCGTGCTTAACGGCCCAGAGAAAGTCGCCCTCAGGGAACTCGAAACGGCCAGTCCTGCCATCTTCCTCATCCTGAGCCACGCCGGCCCCGCTGACGAGCTTCTGGCTCGCAAAGTGGCTGGCCATATCCAGAAGAGTCTTGAGCCCCGCAAGGTCGTCGTGCTGCAGGACGAACTGGAAGAGCGTCTGGCTCGAATTCTTGCAGCTGCGCGCCTTGCCCTCCACGGGCTTGAAGGTGTGCGTCTTTTGTCCCAGAAAGTCGAGCGGCTTGGTCGTGGATTTGACCTGCATCGACACCTGACCAATGTTCTCAATGGTGAACTTCTTGTCGACAATCTCCGAGATGATCTTGGGGTCGTCGTTGGACGCTGCATCGCTCTCGTAGTCCTCGTCGTCTTCGTCCTCGGGACCGCCTGTGTCCAGCTTGTACCGCATTGCGTCTCGATCTTCCGGTGCATACTGGGCCATGACGATCTCGAGAATCGCGTGGGCCACGTCGTGGTGGCCGCGGAGGTAGGCTAGCGAGAAAGGGGTGTTGTCCTTGCTGTCGTTCACTGCCATCTTGAGAGGAGGCTCCGCCTGATCCTTGCCCCAGGCTTGGAGTGTGAGTGACTTGATCTTCTCCAGATCGCCAGCCCAAGCAGCCTCAAATCTAAGCAGACGTTATTAAATAAATACCGAACAACAAATAATGTCTTGCACTTACAGCTCAAGGTATGCAGCCTTCCGGACTTCCGTGACATCAGTAACGTTACGGAATGAGAAAACGTAGCTGTAGTTGTAGAACTTCTTCTGAGACTCCCAAGGTCTGTTGTGCGACGTGGGGTTGTTATCCGGAAACTTGATGTCGGGATGAATTTCCGCAAAGGTCTTTCCGCCCTTGACGATGATGGCCTTCTCCAGCTTCTCAAGCGAGGTAATGACCTCCTTGATGGCCTCGATCTTCTCCGGGACGCCCTTGAGCTCCTCAAAGTCCTTCTTCGCCTTCTCGTAGCTCTCCACCCCTCTCTTGTAGTTGACCCTGCGCCAGTAGATGTTCTCAGAAATCTGCCAGTGCTGGTAGGTATCTTCTGGGTATCTCGCAAGGAACTCGTCCATTCCGGCGGACAGATGGGGCATAACCTGTGTGAACTTGTCGCTCTTGAAGTCACGAAGCTTCTTGAGCTGCTGCTGCACGAGGTCGAGAGCCGTCTCTCCCTTGTTGTACGCGCGCTGGTAATCGTTTTCGATGGCGCGGTACGAGTTGGTCGTCATCGTATTGGGGTCCGCACCCTTCTCGATGAGGTTCAGAGCAATATCCGGATCGGTGCAGTTCTTGATTGCTACGATCAACGGCTGATCTGTATGTTGGTTGAACTGCTTCTTGTTGTCCTCATACGAACCAAGTCGGTTGTTCGACTTGGAGAACTTTGCAGCCTTCAGCCAAACGTCAAAGTCGATTTGCGGGTTGGCGCCGGCCTCAAGCAACTTGAGCACAAAGACGGAGTCGCCGTTCTCGATGGCTGTGTGGATCGGCGCGATGGCCACCGGGTTCCAGTAGCTGGCAGCGAAGACCATGTGATTGAGCGCTGTCTTGAGTCCAACCTTGTCGTTCTCCCATAGGGTGTCAATCATCTCCTGGTTGCCGTTCTTAACGTAGCGGTGGAACGCTGTGCATCCGTTCATGTCTGCCTGAGACGAGGTGGCGCCGAGTTTCATCAGGAGAAGAGCCATCGACTTGGCCTTCTCAATGGGTAGAGAAAGGGCGAGGGAGAGCGTCAAAATAGCCGCGGTGGGTTGCTTGTCAGAGTTGAGGAACTTGACGGGGAGAATAGCGTCGCTGCCATAGTCACAGAGAAGCCTAACGGCATCTTCGTGTCCTTCGGAAATGGCAAGGTGCAGAGGCGAGCAGGGCAGATCCCAAGCCAAGACGTCAGTCTTGAAGAAATCGGGCTCGTCAGTCGAGTCGTCTTCCAGGACCAGGTCTTCCTTGCTCTTTTCATTCTCGTCCTTGACATTGACGAAAGACCCGGTCGCCATAGATGTTGCATCTGCCTCAGTGTTGCCCGCGTCCACCATCTCAATGTCATCGTCATCTTCAGAATCGCCGTCCGTTTCAGCATCCATATTTTCGTCGTCCTGCGCTTGAGACGTCTTTGGATCTGGTTGGTCTTGAAGTCGAGTCTGGATTGCTTTGCGACGGCGATCGGCCTTCTGTTCCTCCTCCTCTTCGTTGGTAATGCTCTTGTCCATGAGGATCCTAATCATGTCAGCGTTGCCGCGCTCGGCCGCAAGATGAAGAGCCGTTCTGCCGTCAGCAAGGCGAGCAGTTAGGCGCGAGCCAGACTCGACCAGACAACGGACGACCTCGGGCGTGGAGCTGATGACGGCGAGATGGAGAGGCGTGCGTCCCGTGTAGTCGCGCTTGTTCGGATCGGCGCCCTCTTGGGACAGCCAATCTCGGACTTCCTCGACGTCACCGTCAACGATACTCTGGCAGAGACGAGCCGTGTTTCCAACATAGGCCATGTCGGTCCAGTCATTCTCCGTTAGGGGGTTGAAAGAGCCGATCTGCTGCCGACCAGGATCGTCAATCAAGAAGCTAACCTTGCCTGAGATGTAAATCTCCGCTTCTTTCTCAGCGACTTCGACCTCTTCCGGTGTAACGGCCTTTGGGCAGCCGCCGCAACAGTCTTCGATAACATCCTTGACACGTCCAAAGAAGGCGGGGT